AATAATAATAATAATTAATAATAATAATAATAATAATAATAACAATAATAATAATAATAATAATAATAATAATAATAATAATAATAATAGTAATAGTAATAATAGTAATGACCATTAAGAAAGAGGGAACAGAAATCATTTGATTGTATCCATTGATATTTGAAATAAACTGTTTTTGTTAAATTTTATTTTAATTGTTCCATTTTTTGTTTTGTAACTTCTCATGTATAGAAAATTTAAATGGAACTAAGAGTAAATTAATTGAATTAATGGTTTAAAATAGCTAAAACGTAACCAAATATCGGAAATATTAATGAGGGAATATATGATGCACACGTTTCTTCTATTTATCCAATTTAAACTTTCGATGGGTTAAAAAAATGGATGAATTTAATTTTTTGAATAAAAAAGCGAGTATGAATGAGATGTATTGAATAGATAAACAATTTCAGTCAGGATCAAACAGTCGGAAGGAAAAATGGACAGAAATAGGACGATGATGAATCATGGAGGCAGTAGGAATGATAACGGAGGTGTGCCAACTTCGAAAATCGATTCTGTGATAGTGATTTAACCAATTTTAAACATCAGTATTAGTTTCTACCCTGTCTATTTCTCTCTTTCTTGATACAGAAAGGAAGTGCGAGAAATCAGCACTCTTCTTACCCTTCTTCCGCTCCTTTTCCTCCGCTATCTCCTCATACTATTATCAAACATAAACTTGTTGAAAACCATGATCGTTGTTGAAAAAACCAGCGCAACAAAAAGGGACCATCGTTGAAAACCGATCAGACATAATATTTTCTGAACAGAACATAAATATAAGTGAAAGTCGGTATCGAGAAATAAAACTTCTATATGAAGAAATCGTGGGATCTTGTAGGAAAATTTATTCTCGCTTCCAGAACGTACTATCATTTGAAGGGTGCACTGCACAAAATGACTGAGTTCTGTAAGCTTCCCACAAGATTAGCTTTGTCTATTATTACTTCAAAACTAGAAAATGAATCGAGATAAGAAGGCTAACACCAAGGCGTACTCAGAAATCATTATTTCAATCATTTTTTGCCATTTGAGCTTCCAATTTTTCCACAAAACACGTAGAATTTTGCGCCTTCTAAAACGAAAAAAAAAATTAGTTAAATTAGGCAATTTAGAGAAGAAAGACCCATTAGTACCACGAAATCAACCCTACGAATCTGAATTTTTTGAGTACATCTATACATTTACGTGAAAAGTGGAATAGAGAAACGCAAATAAAATATTTGATTAACATGGACCAGAATGCAAAATACTTGGTTACCGCCGTTATAATTAATGGGGCAATCATCGAAAAAACAACAGCAGTGCAATGCAAAACTCAGAGCAGATGAAGGTTATGGAAGCAAATGCCAATAGTGCAACGCTTGCCGAAAACATGTGGCATAAATGGTATTCTAACGTACTCGGTTTTAAACAGCTCTTATTTGTAACAGAATGAAACACCGTGAAAACCGCCGTCGTTTACTGTGACTTCTATACCTGCATCTTTTTTCCTCCTTTAACCAGACGACAAATCTCTAATACTATGACACCAACAGGAAATATTTCCAGAAAAACAAAGGTTATGCTGAAGATATGTAATCCCATACAGACATATATCTGATACTTGCAAAGATAGGAATTACCGATTCCTCTTTATGAAAAATGAATATTATGATTAAAAGGAACCCCTCAGCTGCTGACGATGCTTACATGAAAGAAGTCAGTATTTATTTCACTCGAGGATAGAAGCATTCACATAGGCATTGCAAGATTAGTTCAGGTTTACTTTAGCTTCTTCTTGATACGCAAATCATTTGAATGTCCACATTTCTTTTTACGGCAGTTCGTTGCACGCGGTGGCAAACGAGCATAGCACTAGAAATACATTCATTTGAAACCTACAAGTTGCACAATTTTTGCTGAAATTAAGTTTAAAATGTTCAGAACACTCACAATCCAACATGTTTGATCAAATGCAAGAAATAACTACCGAAACAATTTCGATAATGACAAAGAAAATGAGGAGGGGGCCTCGGAATACGACCCAAAGACGAGGATCTAATTAAGACGAAAGGTAATGAAAAATATCATTTACATATTCAGAATCCAATTTCAAGATAGAAAGGAAAAGGAATTATCATCACTAATTATACTAATTTTTCTTTAATCCAAAAGAAGTTAATGGACAACTTCCTTTCAAACCACCGCAAAATTGTTGAATTGCTGATGGTTTAATTCCCCTTTCAACGACTTCCTTCAAGTTTTTGATTCGATTGAAACTTTACTGATACTCGAAAATGCAATACAAACATATGTTAGTATGTAACTTATAAAGCTGTAGAAATTGTAACTAAAAAACAGTCAAAAATCTTTTAAAAATAAGAAGTAACTTCGCAACAGTTTTACTAACCTTGCGGCAAATTTGCTTCTCACAGTTGTATTTCTGAGCAAGTTGACGAAGGGAAGGTTCAATGATACCACCACGAAGACGAAGGACCAGATGAAGTGTAGATTCCTTTTGGATATTATAGTCTGAGAGAGTACGCCCATCTTCCAACTGCTTACCTGAAATTTGAATTTATGTGACAGAAAGAAAAAAAAAATCATTTAACACTAGAAACCCTATGCCTTAATATGTGATTGTATTTTTTAATGCTTCAAATAATCACAAGAGCTTCGCTTGTGATTGTTCACAATTCACAATTGCTTAGCAACTATTGGAGGTTGCTTCTCTTCATCTCCTCCTTACTTTGCAAGAATTACACCTTTTAATTTCATATCAGAACTACATCGTTAGTTATTCCACATAGAATCATCACGGCTAAATCGATGTATTTTTGCTGGACAACAGAGTGGCCATAAACAAAATCAGTTCTTAGGTCCGCATTTCAACTCCTATGACAATACTGCAGTTAAAACATCTTGAAAATATCCTACGTGAAGTCAGTACCTGCAAAAATCAATCGCTGCTGATCTGGAGGTATGCCCTCTTTGTCCTGAATCTTAGCTTTTACATTCTCAATTGTATCCGAGGATTCGACCTCAAGTGTAATCGTCTTACCAGTTAATGTCTTGACGAAAATTTGCATAGTGAAATCTGGAAATTATAACTGTAGAATCCGTCCAAATTGGCTTAATACATGTAATGCTGATGTATACAAAGAGCGACTTATAAGACAAAAGAAGATATCACTTCAACAATTGGGATAACGCTCAATTTAAGTGATTCAAGTGACAGTAAGGGATTTGTAATGGTTTTCAAGCCAAAAACTTCTCTCGCCCCAATTTCCACTCGATTGCTGAGAATAGAATACAGCAGCACCACTAATACGACACTACAGTGCTCAACCACACCACTCCCTCTTTCGTAATCCCACAACCTAAATCTTATCCAGGTCCCGACCACGATTTGGCTGGTTCGAAATGGACCTATGTATGTTACTAAGCTGTCGGGGATTGGATGAAAATAGTGTTCCCGAGTCTTTCAACCAGAAGAAAATAATGATGAAGTAGAAATACTCGTTTACGGATGTATGCTATGAACGTAATTCAATTTTTCGTAAATAAGGGATGTCAATCAATCAAAGGATTGCAGTGTTTAAATCAACACATAAATTGATTAAGTTCAATGTACTTGTCAAAATCAATTTATTGAAATTTATCAAAACTCCATATTATTAATCAGATTATCACGAATGCATTATAAGATTAGTACGAATTATCATGAATGCAAAATGGAAATATAGTAGCATTCTGGTATCATTTATCTACACATATATCTTGTAACAAAGACTATTCCATTAAAATACTAGTCATTTTGCACGTTAAACTTTTATTTCGAATTTTTTTCTGTTAAATTAAATTGATCGAGGAAAAAAGTGAGCAGGTAATTGTATGATAAAGATGAATAGGTTGACAATTGCATATAGGCACAATAGATACGCGGATCCATGGTAAGGTAGAAGATGATGAAATACTGCTGACTGATGGAAAGGCAAAGTTACCAAGCATCGAACTTTATATGTAAACTGTGTGGGTTATGTGAGAAAGTGACTGCATGTTGAGGATGAACAGGTTGACAATTGGCGTGATGATCATCGTTGAAATATGGATATAAAGCTGCTATTACCAACCAATCAAAAAAACATATATAGTATCAAGTCAACCACTCAACATTTGTTTATTACAAGCCAACCGATCAATTAGTCATTCATTTGAAGAGAACTTCAAAAGCTAATGATTGTAAATACTGACAGCAATAATTTGAAATTTGACTCGCAACTGTTTTTTTCTGAAAATTATCCCAAATAATCTTTGATTTTTAAAGAAAATAGCACCACCTTTCATGAAGTTCTTTTTCTTCCTTTTTAAATCGAATTTTTGGGAAAACAACAATTGAATAAATGAAAGAAGTGAGTTGTGTTTTTTTCCGCAAATCTTAATTAGTATAGAACAAAGAGCAAGGAAAGAAAAAGAAAATAATCTTACCAAAAAGTTGGAGGATTTTCATTACGTTACAAAAGGCATTGAATCAGTTGTGACATAATGAGACTGTAAAATTCCCGAAACGTCAGTTATTTCATAGTATTTGGGGTAATTGTGATTGTCACTTAATTGTTTAACTGCCGTGATATTTGTAATTGTACTTGTTCAAACTAAGCAAGTTATATTCGATTATAATTATTTAATATGATAGGCAGAAATAAAATGTGTAATTTTGTTGTTGCTATACATCCAGCAAGCAAATTGCAATTTTTAGATTCAGTTAAATTTAAATTTCAGTTTTTATAAAAATTCGGAAATCTTTTTAAAAACAGTAAAAAGAAAGGACGAGAGAGAGAGGGAGAAAGAGAGAAAGGAAACGAACCTCTTCAAAGTTGTGCACAAATAAACCACCAAATAATCGTACGATAGGAAGGGTGAATTGTGGCGTAAATTCGAATGTTTCACTAGATGGTACATTAGTGGTTGCTGTGTAGGTGTAGGGATCAGAAAGTGAAGAGATTCCATCCAATCCACTTGTTGTATAGTCTGATTCTGTCCACTGTGGTGGAATAATTTTTGACTGAAATGAAAAGAAAAAAAATGTGTACAGCTTTTTTTAAAAAGGAACGGATAAAAAATTTGATATGATAAAAGAAGAATGGAAGAGAGGACGTATTTCTACTTCCATTCATTCATTTCATTACCAAAAATAGAAAGTAATTTCTTATCAGTTTCTTTTCTTTTGATTTTCTATGTATATTATACAGATAAGATTTATATTCTGTGCGACGCTCAAAAAGCCTTATTTTTTAAAAAGGAACGGATAAAAAATTTGATATGATAAAAGAAGAATGGAAGAGAGGACGTATTTCTACTTCCATTATATCATTTTTTTCTTTCAATTCTTTTGCGAAAGTGACGAAGTTGTTTAATATGTTTTGTTTTAATATAAACAATCAAACCAGAAAGGAAAAGGAAAAGGTTCATTTAATTTCCGATATGTGACATTTTGTAAATGTATCACATTGATCAATTATTATTTCAGGTTTGAATGATACAACTGTTATGAATGATTCAGTATAAAGGGAACCTGAGGTGGTGATCCAGCTGGCAATGTCGGTGGAAGAGCGGTAGTCGCGGCAGAAGTTGAAGCACTTAGCATTGAACCGAAAATTTCGCTACTAACTGGAGGCTCGGTTGAAGGGGTTATTGGTTGAGGTGCTACCGATGTTTGGTCCGATTTTTCATGACCCAAAGGTTGCTGAGAAGTAGACAACATTGGAGATGTTCCGAGTGTTGGATAAGCTGGTGGATAAAATCTGGGTGATGCACCAGGTCCAAGTACACTCTGAGGTGGTGAATACAATCCATACGGTGCACCAGTTCCGAGTAGAGTCTGAGGTCGTGGAAGATATCCCAATGATGTACTAGTTCCGAGTGCTGCTTGAGAAAATGGATAAATTGCGGGTGGCGTACTAATTCCAGTTGCAACCAGAGACGGTGGATAAAATCTAGGTACTGCACTAAAACCAGGTGGTGGACAGAACCCATGTGGCATAAATCCGGGTGACATACCATTTCCTGGTGTTGCCTGAAGCGGTAAATAAAATCCAGGTGGTGCACCAGTTCCGGATGCTGCTTGAGGCGGAAGATAGAAACCGGGTGGTATCCCTCCAAATCCTGGACTAAATCCAGGCAATGGAAAAACAGCTCGAGGAAAATCACGAATATTTGGAGAAGGAGATCGTCCAAGTAAAACTGGAGAAATAGCTGGATATACAGATCTGGTTGAATCATCCGCCTTTCCATGTTCCATTAATGCCTGATGTCTTCCAGATGATAAGTAGGTTCCTCCTTCCTGTGGTAATTCTTCGAGTGAACCGGCTAACAGTGCTGCTTGCTGGTAAAGATTATGGTCACCATCTCGAACTCGTCGCGGAATTCTATTCAATAGTTGACTTCCCTGCAACGGTGCCATCATTTCGCGTGATATTTGTCTAGGATTTGGTTTTCCAAAAACTGGTGACTTTTGGGTTCGTTGAGAATCGACTCGTGATGAGATTTCCAATCGTTGTCGCCTAGACTTGCGATTATTCGAACGATTTCGGGATGAATTATCTTTTGCACCTCTCTCTGGAGCAACACTTCGTCCGATAGTATTCTGAAATTGCAACGACAGATTTGTTATTGCATCCCTTAGTGATATTGGAGCTGCTGAAACTGATTCTTTTGCATTAACTGTTCGTTTTTTCGATCTATGAGGATCAATGAATACAACTTCACACAAGGGTCTTCCCCCGGTCCGCGATATTTTAGGCTGTCCACATTGTTTATTGCTTGTTTCGTCTCGATGTTCACCTTCACGACTTGGTTGTTGTTTAGGTGTTTGCGACATAATTCATTCACACCTACAGGAAAATCCTATAAATTATCGAAGGAAGAGTTATAGAAAAATACATGATCGAAGTAGTTCTAGTAACACCATTAAATAACCGTATTTTCCCGCCATACTACTGTACCATACCGTGCCACTCCACAATATTTGTTCGTTATAATTCTGATGTGTTACCAATATGGTACCATTACTGTATCGATGTGCAGTAATGGTATCATTCGGTGTGAAAAATTGATATGTCCGAATTTATTGCTAATGCATAGTTGTACTTATATTTTGATCATAGTGATATACATAAATGCTCCTCCATTCATTGAAAGGAAAGAAAGAAGAAATTTATAATCAAAAACAAAGATATGAGAAGAAAATTGAGAAGGGAAATGAAATTACTGATTAAAAAAAGTATTCAAATATAACCATTCATATTTTGTGATAAGAAAAGTAATTAGATACTAATGAATTGATATATCTGAAAATAATATATATCGAAGTACTTAAAAATATAGAAAAAAGATAAAAAGGAAGTGGTATTGATCTAGTAAGGGCTAAATTGATCAGAATCTAAGTTCTTATATACACAAGCAGTTACTACTAACAGATATTGTCAAACTAATAGTAATCAGTTGTAATGCCCATATCATATATGATACATCATGCAGACCTCAAACCTTCCCAAGGATCCAGCAAGAACAAAATGTATTCAACCGCACCAAAACGAATAATTAATAAAAAGACAACCAGCCAGTAATTGTGAATCATTTTTATCATAGATTTTCTAACTCTAATATGCAAATATAAGTCGTTTTTCCTTTTTTTTATTCTTCATACATTTATAAATATGATATGCATTTCTCGTGTAGCAATCAGACTTATCAGTTCAATCCTTTTTCTGAATTTCAAAAATTTAGCATCAAATTTTTGCTCTTTGCAATTTATTCGAAAATTAGCTTTCTCTTTTTCTGAGAACAACTATATGAGCCGACTGTTCAAACGACTTGATTACAAACAAAATAAATGGAAGAACTGTTCCGAGTTGTTACCAACCAATTTATAAATCTAAATTAAGATCCGTAGTTAAAAATTAAGGATTAAAAGATTTTAAGGTTTTTAATGCTTGAATAGATTATGGAGTGTGGCATAGATTTGTGCATTTCAATCGGGAAAGACGTAATGAATATTGATAATCGTATTAGTTGTTAACTGGAATTAAATCTTTTTACGATGGAATTCGATCTATACATAAAAATTTTCAGTATTTCATCCGAATTTAAAATTTTAGATAAAATTCGCTCTAAGGAACAGTAGATTCAATGGGTACTATCATCACAAAAAATTTTAAACATTCGATGGATCCTACTCCGTCATCAGAAGACATGACATCTATAGTGTAGTGAAAGCCTCAATGATCTTGACTATCTGTGCTTCAAAGTTCTTTTTTTTTTCTTTTTTATTGTGGAATAAAAAAAAAAACGAACAAATGAAGAATAAGCAAAACAGCAAACAAGAATGATTGAATCCATGAAAAGTAAAACATGCTCAATGCAACTGAGATAAAATAATCCACACATCTCAAGGCAAATTAATCTAATCAGCCGAATAAAGCATGAAATGCTCCAAACAGAAAAATAAAAGAAAAAAAGACCCTGAATATCATACTTTAAACCCTGATAGGCATTCTTGATAATATGCAAATAAAAAAGTCACTGTCACGCTACGGCTAGGTCTTGAACCTAACATTTTCAGAAAATACCTAATTACCAGCTAAATCACAATAAACTAAAACTAAATCATTAAGCAAATCAAGCATAAATTTACTGAAAATGCCGACGTAATTCAAAGTGAAGATCTCTTACCGCACAGTATTAAAAATTATAAACAATATTTCACGAAGTTTCATATTGGAAATGGAACAAAAATTGTGCATTGGGACAAAAGTCGGCTTTAATATTGATAGAAGAAGGAGACTCTAGGCATCTTGCTGATTCTGGAAGAAAATGAACACCTTGTCGATGCGAAATAGACCAGTTTGGTCGCTTGCCTATTTCAGGTTCGTTCAAAAGTCCACTAGTTAATCGAAAATCATCGTGCAGCCAATCCATCCAGAAAATGATAGCATTTGTGCCAATCCTGGAAAACGCTAAATTCTCCGAAGGAAAAAATGCATTTTCAAACTTCAAAATCTATGTTCACAATTACAGCACTTAATACAATAATCATTGAACACTTACATGGAAGGAGCAATTTTAGTCTTAAAGGATGCATGAGTGGGAGGTTCATTGAAATCGAATCGAGCAAGTATAACTGGCTCTCCAGTTATGATGGATGGATATTCCCAAAGAGGATGAGGTTCAACCATTGCATCGACAGCACTTCGAGCCTTGATAATTACATTATCAAAGGGTGACAAATCGAAACCTTCCACGATACCGAATGGAGCTGCTATTTTCCATAATTCATCGAATTTGACTGGCATTGCATACATTATGCCTCCCTACAAAACACTATCAAGATAAGAAAGTTTTTTTCCGAAATCTTTGCAAACCCCAATAATTCCAACTTTGCCAGACAAAAATGAGCTTCATTTACGGTATTCTTGCAGTTGATTGAATAAAAACCACACAAACCCCTGGCGACAGTGGAAGATATCTGGATTCGAAGGATGGTAGTAGTTTATGTACCGTAAACCAAAAGCATAGATTATCCCATGGAAGAAAAGAGAACAAATAGAACGGTTCTGATACAACAACATCAACCTAAATTCGTTTTCACTAAAACTGAATTCGGAAAAAGAAAAGTAAAATCAGTAACTTCGAATAATTATTCAATCTTTAAATTTTGCGTTACAACTACCGTCGCAATGTTTAATATCTAGAGACAATCTGTCGTAAAATTTACTTCATCACAAGGAACAGCAGTATAATCATCATAAATACGAATATTCTGTATGCGATTTTCTTCGATGTAAGCCGAAATGACTTCCATAAAATGGTCATTTGGTTCAACAATTTGGACTGTTTTTGCATATTTTGCAAGCAATAAACTCATAAGCGAACCATCATCAATGATAGCTACTGATTTTCCTGTAAAATTCTGCAAAGAAATTATATAGATTATTCGAAAAAATATCGTCGGACAATCACGTCAGCAATACGATCATGATATGAGCAGATACGAAAACAAATGAGCTAAATTAAAAATAAAATAATTATTTGCTAAAATACTCAAATACTTGGAGTAGAATGAAGCACTGATCATAATTTTAAAAAATCAGATGGAAAAGAAATTCCAAATAATAGTTCAAGTAGATAGTAATCTATTTGTTCAAGTATGACTTAGCTCTTCATCATACATACTTTTTTTAATTTAAGACAAATATAAGTTCTTCGAATCATATTCTTCATTGACACTTATTCTGCATACTACCTTTTAAGTTTCGGTATTTTTTTCGGTACCTAACAAACCGAAATACAAATTGCGAAATAATGCCATCAGAAATGTAATACTTCTTAACAATAACCTTAAACTATTTACAGCTTAAACTCGATAAATTTTAAAAAAGAAATACATAAAAAGTCAATACGCTATCGTTTTCTTAAAAAGAAATACAAGCAAAAAAGAAGATAAACATTGTAAAGAAATTATTTCAATAAAGCTTCGCAAGCAGCACTACACTGAAACACGTTTCACAGAAAATGTAATTAACGGAATTAAAAGAAGAAAATTTAAGAAAATACAATTTGAGAAAATATAATATTACCTTTTCCAAGAAATGATCAAAGGCAACATCCTCATCAATTTCATTTAAGCGATGAATTGCATTTCGTGAGCAAGCAACATGTGTTTTACATCGACAAAAATTAGGCTCAGAGGCATCAAATCTAAGAAAAATTATCGCATTCATTAAAATTTAAATATAAAAGCCACTTTTTAATTGAATGAAAATCTTCAGCTATGAAAATTCAGAAAAACATACTCATTCTGAGGTACAGCAAACCAGAAAGAGAATTCGTCATGACAACAGTGAAGCGCAACTGTTTCGTTTTTTCGAACCTGAATACTCTGAGCAAGATAATAAACACCTTGCACCCAATGATCTCGCCATTTTGCTCCACTGTTCCACCATTTTGGTGCTGTGCTTAATATATTCTGTCCTAGAAAATAATTTGTTTCACAAATGGAAGATAAAAAAAAAGTATTGCAGAACAGTGGCCTATTTTGCTGGTTCTTTAAACGAAATACATAATGAGTTCTAAATCGAAAAAAGGACAACCAATACTTCCATAAATTTCATAGATTTACCAGTGCCATCCATATCAAGTTCCCACCACATCAAAATTGCTTCAAATGTACCGTCTGATTGAGCATCAAATGTTCTGACAACTGTTTCATTATAATTAATAGAATAACCATCTTCGAAATTAAAACTGCAAATCAATAAATGAGTTTTTATATTACGGAATATTCGATTCAAACAAATAATATTTTGACTTTCTGAGCTAAGACATGATTTTCAGTGGTATAATCATTCGTTTCTTATATCCTACAAAACATCGCAATAGAAAAAGAAGTTTAGTGCTATAACTGTCAAAAGAAGTGAACACTGTTCTTAGAAATTAGAAATGTAAAGAAAAACACTGGAAAACTACGAAACAACCTAAAAGCTACAAACGGTTCAGCAAGCACGCAAATTTCCTCCTCTGGCACTTCCGAAACGTGGATATCGTGTATAGCTCCTGCACCGGGACAGCGTTTGCTGATTTCTGGAACTTTGAAGTGCCGAGAGGGAAGCTGATGAAAACGCATAAGAAAATCACTTTGTACAGGAACTAGCAAGACTCGTGCTGATGATGGGACTACTCTACAACCAGGCTGAAAGTAATCCCTTTTCCTTAAAAAAAAAGTTCAAAATTAAAAGTTAAAATGTGATTTTCCAGTTTTCATGGAAGTTGAAGATCAGATTAGCAGGGAGAACAATGCACTGTTCGTCCGGTTGGACTGATAACTGTCAATCCGGAAAACTTTGTAAACAGACCTTAACCAATTTTTGATGCGCTTCCTTGAAAGTTCGTAACGCACCCTCACCAATTAATTCAGTGTCAAATACTTCAGCAACAATTACATCGCCTTTTTCAATGGTACTAACTACAAAAAGAGAAGTCTTCCAATGCACATGAATCAAAATGATGAAATTTCAAAAGAAAAAGAAAAATTCTGCTGACTTTCTTCATCCGTCAACTCGGTTGATCGTGATGCAATTAAGCGTATTTGTTTTTCATAACCATTTTTTCGGATAATCTCCTCCGCGCATTTTGCCATTGGTTCCAGCATTTCTAGAGCTGTCACACTATCAGCGCCGGCTCTCATGGCCATCATTGACAATAAACCCGTACCAGCACCAATGTCTAGGACATGCACTCTCTCGTTCTTTTTTTTAAGCTAAAAAATCCAATTTCGTAATGTCACAGAAATATATAACACCTATAAAGCCGAAGCTACCTTAAAATTCTAAAATTATTAATAAACCATTCTAGAAGTTTAATGGAGGTGATATGGAAGCATGAATACCGTTATTTCAGTTGCTCTTCAGACACAGGACCAAAAAAAGGAGCGAATATGTAATGAATCAGAGATAAAAGAAAGATTTTCCATAATTAGATTCTCTTCCAAAAGCTCGGACTATAGAAGAATCAGAAATAGTAATAAAACGCAAATACAGCGAACAAAATAAAGACATGCTGTTTACTCAAACATACCTGGCTAATTACTGATTTTAGTCCAAGTTCATATCTCTGGTTTCTTTCAAAATCATGAATCATATCTCCAAATCCACTACGAGCAATCTCTTGGGCCACATCATAATCCTCTTCCGCAACTTTCCACGTCCGTTGTCCAGTGATCGGGTCGACCGTTTCCAAAAACATCTGAATTTAAGATAAAAGAAATCAGGAACGCGACTGCAAGAGCGAAAAAAAAATGAAAAGGAAAGAAAAACTGGTTTGGCTTATTAGCCTTTGAAGAAAAAAGGATCAGCGATTAAATACAAAGAAAATAGGAATGTCCGTCCTAATATCGTCATACACATATCCTGATGTCTAAAATGAAATTAAACGCTAAAAATCAAATATATTTCTCAAAGTTTTTCCTTTTTTTCACCTGATTTCTTCTAACACATAAAAACCACCGTATTTCATTGTGCAGCGTATATGAAGAAATTTTTATTGAATTTTTAAATACTTCATTTATTCTCAAAATCTCGTTTCTTCAACTTGTTCATCTCCTAACACTTCAGCCATAACGAAATACTATCTGGGTAGTTTGAAAAAAGGAATACAGACTTAGCTCTGTATTTTGTTTTTATTACCTTAGCTTTGTGCTTTCTTCGTAAACAATTTTGAATCCAGATATGTAAACTCTGGAGGCGTGAAGATAAAATCCTTGGGAATGCTCGACTTATGGTTGAAATTATTTTTACGATTAGTGCGTCTAATTGATAATTCTGAAAGTTTCGCTAATGAATAAATGCAATCTAATAGATAGTTCAGTGTACTTCTATGTAAATATATAAAGTTAAAACGTACTCAATGCCTGTTTAATCCATCCAGAAGCACTTAAACGATAAACTTATATGGCTGAACATATACACCAATATCTAAGAATTTTGCGCTGATATGTAAAGATATATGTTCATTACTGAATAAGAGGTTTGTTTAAAAATTCGAAGTCCGGAAAATTCACCGAGAATATAAATCGGTCCCTGAAATAAAAAATAACAGTCAGGAAAGATCTTTTATTACACAAAACGCTAAACAAAACAATTATGAAATTGCAAGCTTCAAGAAAAAATAACATATAAATGGAAACAATGGCGAAATCAATGTGTTTTAAATGGTCTGAAATTTAAAAAATTCTGAGTTTCAAATTATCGAAAACGACTAGTCTTGACACAGAGGCCATTAAGAGGATGGCACATATGCATATGGAAGATGCCGAAGCTGACATGGTAATAAGTAACTAAGATTAGATGGGTAACATGACAGGCTCGGATAGAACAATATCGCATAAAAAATGTACAGAAACTTCAGTAACTCGATAATCTTTACAGAAATAATCAAGAGAGTTATTTCAGCAATACTGCTTTATTGCTTTATTTTTCACTTCCTCATAGGAAAAAAAACAGCAGGATATGCAGGTATTTCTCAAGTAGGTTAGTAATAAAAGAGGATGGAAAATCATCGTGCAAACTTAATATCCGCAAGTGCAGAGGCAACTCTTTCAACATCCTTATTTTCTGATTGTCCATCTCGTATGGCATCAATCGATATGCTCCCATCATTTTGTACAATTGTTTTCGACGCTGCACTATCCCTCAAAGAACATCTCCGTTCCTCACCTTGTTTTTCCTTGTCAACCTTTTCGCAAACATTTTATGATTACACCAGTCCATTTTTTGGCAGTCCGGATGACAATAATATATGTTCTGAAATACAGCAATACAAAAATAAAACCGATTTTTTTACTGAATTTCACTTGATTTAAATAGGTTTTAAAACTACTATAAAGACAAGTAGAAAGTCCTCCCGAGCACGTGAAAGTTAACGGCTTGATGTTTAGACCAAATGCCACTAATCAGTATTTAATTGATAAGATGAATTTAAGAAAGAAATCACCTTACAGCACCGTTTGGTGGAAATAATAGCACCACAACTTGCACAAAAATGAGACGTTTCTACCATTCTTTGTCCAGAAAAGATTGACATTATCAAGTAGAATGCATCTGGCAAATTACCCTAAATAACCATTCTAATATATTTAAATCAAGATTTCTTAAAATGCAAATTCGAATTAAAGAAACTGCACTAAAATTAACTTACAAATTCAACAGCTGCAAGATTTTTGACGAGTGCCTGAAAAAGTAAGCACTGGTGATATGGAAATGCCTGAACAGCATTCCTTAAGTAGCGTTCCAAATTTGGTCGTATCCGACAAGTTTGTTCCATTTTCAACAATTGCTTCACATAATTTCTGATTATTGTTGACGCTTTGTGCTCTTCCTTTTCCAAAACTGTTTCCACAAATTTGCATGTATCTCGTACGGTATATAAAATTAACCACAGCTTCAATGACATGACCTATGATTGAAAAAAGAAAAACATTAAAATGCATATAAACATTTAAGAAAATAACAGCCGAATATGCAAATACCAATCGCATTTTGAATAATCCAGAACTCTATCATTCCTGCCCTACATATGGTACGCATCGATATTATTCTACATATGAATAAAGCTTTTCCTTTATTCAGGAGAAATATTTCGAGAAAGCCATGGCAAAATTCGAATTACGCATACCTCATTAGATTCTTTACACCGTAACTGCCTCTCAAAAATCCTATCCAAAACATAACAAAATTTCTGACGATGTTGCCATATTACTTGATAATGATCACGCAGGAAAAGCATGACCTGAACGAGTAACCCTTCTATTAATTGGTAAACGGCATTTACATTGTAGCAATACAAAAGGGTGTATTTCGGAAATCATTAGGAATGACCTCTTACATTTGCGGAAAAATCATCAGTGACGATTATAGTATATTACAGAGAAACAAATGAATTACAACCAACTAATTGTCACTCTTCCAAAAGGAAACAACTTTTTAGAAACAATTTAATGAAAATAAAACATTTAATAAAATAAAGTGTTTAGTGTTTTTTGTTATAACTTACCCAAACAGGATGTATTATATGAGTTTTGATCAAGTCATGTAATGCATGGGAAAAATCTTTCGAATAAATTTCATCGCTGTTATCCCCATTAGGATGTAATAACTTTTCGATTTCATCCAAAGCTATATAGTTGTTGATAATACTAACACATTCGTGCTGCCCTGCATAATATCAACCATTTAGTTGTAATATTCTTTTCATCAAGGAGAATGAGTTTGGCACACATTTTTGTCACATCAAGAAGTAATGGTCCAGCACATATCAAGAAAAAATAACAATACATTAGAAGATTTTACAATGCTTTGCTTTGAAAATAACCAGCAGAAATTGCCAAAAATCAAAAATTGGAAAATTTTTAAGTACCTGAAATTTCATTCAAAGTTACCCAGATAAAACACTACATTTATTTACTTCGTACACTAAAACTTCTGACCCCTCAAAAGTTCTTTCGCAAAGTTTTTCAATCTTTTTACTGAGACCTAAGACAAATGCTCCACAACTACCTAGTACGTTGGATTATGCCGCATTTCCACATCGCAGACTTCTTTTTATTATTTGTGTTTGTGTTTTTACTTGTTTATGATTTTTATTATTTTGTATTTTATGTAAATACAAAATAAACAAACTAACCAACAAAGGCTGCCATTTCCGCGGCTGTTTTGCCAATTTCATTTGTAGAATAAACATGTGCACCATAGTCTAATAACAACTGACATATACCTGTAAGACAGGCGCTCATCATATTATATTCTAAGCAATTAAATAATTTTTGCAACCAAACAAATAAATATAACGACATCTCAGATAAACAAATAACAAGCGAACTTTTATCCGATTAACAAAGAGTAATTGAATAATGCCACACACTTTTCTTATAGATCGAACACAAAAGCACAACCAAATTATAACAGTTCAAGGTAAAACTGAAAACTTTCTCTTCTTTTTTTCCATTTATGTTGCATAAACCAAATAAAAAAGGAAAAAAAAGAACTTTGATGTCCAGCAATCGCCGCGAACATAAGAGATTTATAACCACAGTCATGAGTACTCTTATTTGGATCAACACCATTTGCTAACAAGAACCGAACCACGTCGTCAAGACCTGACCAACTCGCTTGATCCAGAAGTGACATACCAGTCTGGAAAAATACGTCGTTACAGTTTCGACAAATAAAACTGAAAATAGAATGCGTATTTTCATATAATGCAAAGTGATAGTCCACATTATTCTAATTGCACAAAACCTTGACATGGAAAAGATGTATACCATTGCAAAAGTATACTACTCTAAGACTCTCAGTTATACCAGTTCTAACTTTTGTATCTTAAAAATATAACCCTCCATTTATTTTTCATACACCATCAAATACATACACGAATTCTATATAAACGGTTATAACCGTTAATAATTAAGTTCAAAGATTGAGCAAACCTTATCGGTGCAATTAAGCGGAACACGCATACTCTTTAGAATTTGCAGCACTTCCTTTGCATTCTCTAAATGGAAAAGAGAATTTCAAATTCCAGTTATCTATTTGAATTTCGACTGCATAGACCTGATATTTTGATTTGTCAGGACATTCAATACGTTTCTGGATTCAATGCTTTCCATGCCTCAAGGTCTTCCTCAGAGGTTGACGATGTCAATCATTTATACTATGTGAGCTGTAGTTAGGACACTGGTATTCATTATTCTAAAGCTCCAAAAACATGATAAGGGTTTAATTACATGTTATATACAAAATTTGCAACAAAAGGACAGATGAAACGAATAATAACAGAACGAGATGAATTGAAACATTACTTTCTTTGATCAGATCGAATATCTTTTCAGCATCTTCTTCCGCACCATATTTCAGGATTGTTGTTGCTGCTTTCAAGTTATTCATTCGGAAATGCTGCAATAAGAGAAAAAAAAACTCAACACTTCAAAATTCATCTTCAGAACGTCAATTTTACGACAGGATAAAATTAGGGATATTGAGCCTAACAATTATCTGATCTTTTATATATAAAGAAGTTATGAGATTTTCTACATAAAATAAAGCAATTATGAGTTAACAGTTATCATTTTTTGTTAACGTGTATGTGAATGGACAATTAATTTTAGATGAGATTTTATACGACAGAAACAAAAGTAAATGGCAACTAACTTTTAACCATAGTTTCCTTACCTAAAGCTACTAGCATTCATAATTTTTTGGCAAAATACCAGTGCAATTTCATGACCTCTCCTATTCCATCATAACCTGAGGACTCTAATAAACTTTTAAATAGTACCCGAAAGTATGAAAATATCAGTATCTATTATTCAGAAATATCATGCAACATCTTGTCACAGAAACAATCAGAACTAAACTAAAATCAATGAAAAACAAATAGCACCCATCAACGAATATGGTTAGTTTGCCATACCATCCAAGAAGCATCTTTAAAATGAAGAGCTGTTGTTGCTAAGGTAACGAACAAAAATCAATTTCTGTTAAATACTCGACCCTTTTTTTAAACATAAGCAAGGCTGCTTCATGCAGAAAACTTCACATGTCTGTACCTTAATCTCAATCAATCAATACACTGGCTTATCCCAGAACTATCATAAAATTGGATACGCAACAATAAAATTTTAATTTAATTTCAAGTTATTTTTATATTTTTCTTTTGAAGTGTGAAGTAGTCTTGGACACTATGAAATGACCAGAGCTTCCGAATAATTCTCCTCAAGCTTAGTTTCCCTTGGTATCACTTCGACTTGATTTAAAATTTTATCTGTTTCAAAGTTTTATGTCAAAGAAGGATTATATTATCATATCTGTTTTCCTTTGGTACATACGGAGGTGAAATGTTGGACAAATTTTATGCAAAGAAAAAATAAAAATTGAATTTTCAACAGAGTATTTTACCAATTATATGTAGCTTCGTTCATTTATACAATGACTGGGTAAACAGCAATCAGCATTTAGACCGAAACTTGAAAAAAAGGAATATATGCATAAGCTTGGCTGTTCTTGTCGTATAATTGATCATTCAGGTATAATATTTCTGGTATTACACATTTATCCTTTGTCTTCTTTCCAAATCCATTTCTTCCAAACTAATAATCTGCAAATACTGTATGATGATATAGAGATGTGATAAATAATTTCATAATTATAACATTAAAAGTAAAGAAAATACAGTAAAGAAGGAATGATAAACGTTATGATGTACAGAGAAAAGGAAAAAAGTAAAACTGAAAAGTAAGATTACATTATAAATATTTGGAATTGATTTGAATAAGCTATTGCTTAGTAGGAAAAAGCAATTAATTGATAACTTCGTAGTAGAAAGATGTATTAGAAAGTTCTACCAATTATATATATATATATATATATATATATATATATATATATATATATATA